ATGCGATGCCTCGTCCGGCAATGGGTGCATTATATTACACCCTGCATTATGCAGACTACGGTGTACACGTAAGAATGCTTTCGGCGGACGGGGCATGAATATCAAGTGTTCCTTATTGCCTGGTGTGTGGGGCACACCCTAAAATTCAAGACGATGGACGACGATGAACAGAAGAAAACGAAAGGACTCGACGACGTTGGACGTTTCTCTCGCACGCGATGCTTCCGACCTTACATGGATTGCATAATTTACATTTTTATTCCATTTCCATACACGATAACGTACTTTGTTCGGAGAGAGATTTACATTTCGTATAAAATTGGAACAATTTCAAACGAGTGATCGATAATAACGATAAATTTGTTACTCGAGTCTAAAAATCAGGATTCGCTATTTAAAAATTATTTGGAAGAGTTCATCCTGCCTGAAAGCAGATTTCTTTCAAGAAAGGTTAAATGCACTTGTTTCTCGATGGACGAATTAAATTTTATTTTAAATATAATAAAAATAATTCATTAAAAACCAAGAAAATGTAAAGATGGATCATTATGGAATTAACTGGTTTTAAAATTTATATCCAATTCTGTACAAAAAAATTTATACAATATATGCCATAGACAGATGCCTATATTCATGCTTTATAGACAGGTGTTTGACACGATCTGCGCGTAACATTTGTAACTCATTCAATTTTGTATTAAATGCTTCATAAAAATTTGTGATTGTACTCCAAACATGTATGAATATGTATCCCAAACGAAAACTTCATAGATCTATTAATTCCCTCATAATTAATTCTCAAGAATCATCTGACTCATTTATAATTTCTAATTAAAATTGTAAGAAACATATAACACATTGTACATTTCTTTGAGAGTCTATCGTTTTAATTCCATCGCTACAAAAATAAATGCACCGTGATTGTTTGTAGCCGTGGCGTTAATCGAAGAATCCAGCGCGTAGGATAATGGCGTTTCGCGGTTTCCGGCGCAAGGACAAGCAGAAACGCGAGTGCGTCCGTGGAACCAATCGCGATGCATTACCCGGCCCCGTGTAAGAGGCAGGAACGGGATCTGATATCGCGCGAAGAAAAAATGAGACTTCCTTGGTTTCCATTAAGTAGGAAGCAGTTACGCATTCGCTGTTACGCGAACCGGAAGCATCGCGGGGTATCGTGTGGGGTTCGGTGGCCGGTCGAGGCTTCTTTCGAGCGGTTAATATTTCTCCGCGTGGAAAAAGAAACATAGAACGAGCCTGCTTTATATAAAATGCATCGCGTTAACGTTCCCCTCGAACGTGTTTTTCCATATCCGACGAAGCAATTAGGCGGTTCAAAGTTCAGTTTAATTAAAAGTTTTGTTACCTCCCTCAGACTGTTATTCCTTTGGATAGTTACGGTAGATTTTCAGCGGAAACACCGAGACATTTTCAATAAAACTGTACCTATTTTGCAAGTCTTCTCTTAAGACTGATTGGAACAAAAATCTTAAGGCGTCTCGTTGTTTTATTCGCTGGAACAACGATTGCGAGCATTCTATTAGAAATAGGAGAAGAATAGTTAGCGCGAACTGCCTAATAAATCCTTCACGATTCGCTGTCACCGATCGTACGAGCCTCGGTTTGTAACGTCTTCCATTAAGGACTCGTTTCGTGCATACCAACGATCTCAGATTTCGTGAATGAACGCAGGGATCTTTTGAAAGCGCGACAGATCGAAAGAAAGGCCTTTTAAAGGAACGATGACCGACAAAATACACCCGTGACACGGAACATCAATGAAAACGAAGCCTGATTCGCATAACAAGGGCCCCAAGAGACACGTGAGTCGTTCCGCGCCGGCGTGGAGGCAGAATTGCAGACCGAATGAACATAAATTGCATGTTCTTCCTGCGTACTTCCTTTCACCGGTTCGTTTTGTGACGAGCGACATTTTGATAAGTTGCCTCGGACTCATAATGTTCTCGTTTAATCAGCCCGATACCCGGGTATGCAATTAAACATCACACGTTGATTTAATAGTTGATAATAACTCGTACTGCCGCGGCGGTTTCTTTCTTTCGTTTTTCGTTCCCCGAACAGATTACTGTTTAATAACGCATCACTTTTCATTAACGACTTAGTACGGAGGCTCGTGCGAATTCCTAAACGCTCTTGATCCTCGAAACCATTCTCAACGAAAGTTTTGCCGCATCAACGGCGAATTTCGTCGAGAGAAAGCAGCATTCTTTTTAAATATTTCACAATCTCCTACGATTAACTGCGATTTCTACGAACTATTATTTCAGCTTTTTTAACCTCTATCTTAGTTGGTTCGATCGTTATCTTTTTACGCGCTTCATTTTTCGAAATCGATCGTGGAATAACGAAGTCTCCTTGCAGAATCGAACATATTTCGATCTATTGCGATAAAACATTTATCCAAAGCGTGAATAACGAATATAAGTCGCAGACGATCTTCTGGACCGGTAGAAAAGAGTCAACGTTGATTTAATCGATCCAGACAGGCAATTATTAGGATCGACTCGTAAATAAATTGATCTCGTCGGTCGGGACAGACGCGTAAAGGTCCGCGGCAAAAACGCCGATCTAAACGCTCCGAGATCCCGACAAATGATACACGGCTCGATCGTGGAAATCAAGAATGCGCCTCATCCAGATCGATTTGCACATTGAGCACGCCGTGCCGGCCGGGTACAGTTATCCGTAATATCGGTATTCGTTTATCCGAGGCCGCTACTTACAGGTTATCCGGTTGCCTCGTTCGAATTATAAGCGATTCTCGTATGTGGGACAATCGCGTCGGCCAGATGGCCGCCTCGAGAGGATGGCGCCGAGATCGCGGAGAATTTGTAACGTCCGCTGAATGAATCGCTGACGAGACAGTTAGAAAAAAATTCTCAAACATTTAGAGTCGTCCTTAATCATCTGCGACGTGTAACGGGACTCGTCTTACACTGTACGACGTGAGATCGACTACTGGACAATCGCGCCAAGCACCGATATTAATGGAACTGATATTCAATAAACTCACGCGTACGCTTAGGGGTGATAAATAACACTGGTCAACCACCAATGTGTATTGTTCATCCAAGTATCAAATACATTTTCAGCAACTTTTTCAACAGTATTAAAATTTGTACATATTCTTCATTAAAATACGCGTTGTTTGCATTTCGAAACATTGAAATCCTCCAGTCCGTTCGGAAGTTATGATTTTTTAAACATACGCGTGAAATTTCGAACTTATGGAAAAAAGAATTTTTTTTCTCGAAAATGGGTAGGAATTCGGGGGTATGTCTATTCACCAAAAATGATTATAATTAACTCCTGAAACCGAAAATAATTTTTTTAGAATGATTTGAAATTTTTCAATTTTGCCGAAAAATTTGTCCACCTATTGAATTTTTTTCTCGAAATTGCGTAGGAATTCGCGGGTATGTCTATTCACCAAAAATGATTATAATTAATCCCTGAAACCGAAAATAATTTTTTTAGAATGATTTGAAATTTTTCAATTTTGCCGAAAAATTTATCCACCTATTGAATTTTTTTCTCGAAATTGCGTAGGAATTCGCAGGTATGTCTATTGACCAAAAATGATTGTAATTGACCCCCGCAGCCGTAAATAATTTTTTTAGAACGATTCGAAACTTTTCGTTTTCGCCGAAAAATTTAGGGATCTGCTCGAATTTTTTTCTCGAAAATGGGTAGAATTTCGGGGGTATGTCTATTGACCAAAAATGATTCTAATTGACCCCTGCAACTAAAAATAATTTCTTCAGAACGATTTGAAATTTTTTTTATGTACACTCAAAGAGGACCACACACCTCGTGGTTGAAACGTCGTAAAAGTTTTAATATGATCTAATAATAGTATTAATTTCCGTTAAACATTTTTCAAAACTGAAGCAGTATTCTTGCAGGGAAGAAAAAACACTTGGAATAAATTAATAAACGAGGGGCAACGATAAAATCTTCGATAGTCCGTTAAGAATGTGGCCAGTTATAATATACATATCTCGTCTATTTAGACACGATCGTGCGCAAAATAAAAATGGACCGATGCCCGTTAATGTATCTTCAACGCTTTCTCATTTAACGCGAGAAGGTTTAACGACCACCAAGCTAATCTGTTGTCGTATCGAACAAGAATTTTTACGAGCCGTACGAGATTCACGTATCTCGATGTTCGAACGTCGAAAAAAATGCGTAAAAAGTAACTGTAAATCCCTGTCCGTTCGAGCTCTTCTTCCTGTTCGATTAATATCGAAGCCTTTCGAGTCGTTCTTGTTGTTAGTTCCAGCGAGAGAGCGCGAATTCAGTTTATTCTAATTATTGTTCACGGTTAATCAAGTTCTTCGGGGTATCGGCTGCATCGTTGAAAAGTTTCCTTCGAAAGCGAATCTTTTCCTTTCCTCTTGTTCGGGGAACGGCTCTCGAAACAATTTTTAATCGAATTTATCGGGCAATGAGAACATTCCACGAATCTAATTGCATAATAATGACAAATCTAGCTTATTATATAGTACACCTATGTCAATTATTTTCATTACTATAAAGTGTAGAAAAATTGATAAAGGTTTTAATGATTCCAAGGTGTCTCTCTGGAGGTTTTTTAAGGTCATTATATTATAGGTCGTTGAACTCGTCTCGATGTCGACTACATCCATAGTAGTTAATAAAATAAATTTATGTGACTGGGAGAACTCTTTTTATCTCCATCGAATCGATGCCTTCGAATCATTCAACCCTTTGTCATTCTTTTCTATCGTCCATAGTAATAGAAATAAATTAGATGTTCGATTTAAGAGGAACACCTTGAATACGCTTTCCTTGATACCCTATAAATAATTTCATTTAAAAAAGTTAAGATCAATATCTTTTATCATTTATATCTAAAGATCCCAATAGTAGTTTAGAAAAGTTTAACATGCTTGTATCGACGAATGATCTCGATCCTGTTCTTAGTTAATCTCAAGACAGGTTAGGGGTTCACAAACCTTGGAAATGCCAGCCTCAGGTCCGCCCTAAGCTTGTTCAGAAGCTCGCTGACCGACGTGAATTGTCTCAAGGTCATCTCGCCGCTTCCGGAAGCGTAACCGGAACTCGAACTGGTTGTGGACGGCAGGGTACCTTGCAATTCTTGAACGCTTCCTAATGGACGCCTTCCCCATCGTCTCAACGCGATCGCGTAGTCCTCAGCGTTGTACGTAGGCGGTCTTAATCGTTCCTGAAAAGACGATCGAGATATCAATATATTGGAATATAAAAACGAAAGGAATCTTCAGTCTTCGTTGTCTTAGAACAGTCTAAGAACGCGTAATAAAAATAGTTAAACTTTACAGACATGCAGTTCCGAAGCTATTACAGTTTTATTAATTATTAAGCGATTGTTAGAAGCGGCAAAGCTTCCTCTTTAAAATGGCTTTTGGTTTTTGACGATCGGACTTTCCGTTTTCGAGATATCGTAATTTATGTAAAAGGTAATTTCTTTAATTCGATTCACTCACTGTCCGTCTCGCGTATAATAGCCTATTCATGCGTATTAAAAATAGTAAAACTTTAGACGCGTGCAGTTCCGAAACTATTAGTGTTTTATTAATTATCAAGGCATTGTTAGAAGCGGCAAAGCTTCCTCTTTGAAATGGCTTTTGGTTTTTGACGATCGGACTTTCCGTTTTCGAGATATCGTAATTTATGTAAAAGGTAATTTTTTTAATTCAACTATATCTGTCTTCGTCTAGCGGAGTCGGACCTCTTTGTCGCACGTGCGTGGTACTGACCTAGCCCGCGTACGTGACTGTCGTGACCCAGTTTCGGCGTAGTATTTCCAAGAATTTACTACGCACTGTTTACTATCCGCGCGCGCGAGATCAATGAACTCGCGCGAGCGCAACAAGAAACGTAAACAAACCATATCTCCGAAACTAGCCACCGCATCGAGTTTAAACTAAAATCGCTATATCTTCGGAACTAATGAAGCTATCGACTCGTACGAACGCTCGTTTTAAAGGGCATTTCATCCACTATCCGATGATCATCTCAGCTATTACTATTTACGTTGTCTTCTATGTTTATTTTAACATTTACTTTGACTCTACGCGCCCAAAGAGGTTTCTGCAATTCCTATCGATTATACAACCGGTGCGCGATAAAACTGGATTCTAAATTGTGTATTTAATTGAAAATGAATTCATTATGTTCGTAAATAATTGTTTCCTCCGGGGCTAATTACGCAATCGATTTGAATGAAGAGTCATTTTAAAGGATTTTTCATCCTCTATCCGACGAATGTATCAACTATTATCATTTACGCTGTCTTCTATGTTTAAAATAGAAGTACCTTGCCTTGTAAAAGGGACTAAGGAAGACCGGTCATTCGAAGCCAATTATTTTTTAATATCAAGCTTAATGAGAAATGGCCTGCACGGTTTTCTTGAACTGAAAAATCTATATGCCCGATCAATTTACGCCGAGGGTTGTGTAGCTTTCTAAGCGGTCAATCAAGGATACCGCGAATATTCGAAATAAAGTCACTCGGTCAATTGCGGTTTACTTGGCGCGGTAAATCGGTCGGATCTAACGAGAAACCGAGTTTCTATTTCGTGGTCACTCCATCTTGGTGCACGAATTTCACGTGAGATAACATATATCGGTATAAATATTATGGACCTTAATAAACCTACGAATTTTTCGCTTTTTCGGACATCCAAACAATGGGGTAGTAACGTGAGGTAGCATTACTTTTGTTTAAAATAAGAAACTGGTTAAACGCAGCGTATAAACATAAATATGTCGAAGCAGGGTTTTAGCAATCTTTTTTCAAATAACTCGATTGTTCTTCTCCACCCCATATGTAGACCTGGGTGCCACGATCTTTAGACTGGGATCTAGCAGGATGACCGAGGTCGTTGACAGTCACAATCAATCACTGGCTCGTTCGTTGCTGGTATCGACGCTGATGGGCCATCATCGTTTGATGTATACGGGTCTCGCTAGTAACGGCGATAAAGTAATTAGAGTTCCTTTCCGGGATGTGTGCGCCATATCGCGTACACGTACGTACGTAAATCGTCTAATGGGGAGCGTGATAAAGTAGAGGTGTGTATAGATCAATCATGTTTCGTTTCATTTTTCTGATTCCAGGCGAACGCGAAACGGGATCTCCGGGGCAAGAAATCGTTAGGGCGAAGGGTTTAGCCGTAATCGTTGCAATTATACAGGTAATTAGGCCCCGCGACAAAACAAAACAAACTTACGCGCAACCTAGATCCGCGATTACGCCTTCTTGGCTCTGTTTGGTGGTTTGTCATCGCGTTTTTCGTTTCACAATAATTATAATTAACAAGTAATGCCTGCAGATCGAAAAATTCAAGTCTAAGCTTAATCGAATTTCCACCGTGCGATGTGAGTTTGTTTCGTCCCCCACTAAATACTAGAATAATAAATAAACTGATTTTTGGTACAAAAACCATAATGTTTTTTCTGTTTTATTGACATTGGTTTCGTTTGGAATATTTTTTACACCCGCTGGGGATTCGAATCTAAAAACGACGATTCAACGTCGGCGTAAATGCACGGGTTTCAGGGTTAACGCGATGCACCGTGATCTCTGGTTGATATTAATCATATTATCCGTGATAAATCGCCTCCCTCGCAGTTTCACGACGCGTACAAATACCGGCGAAGCGATTACGAACTGCAGAATTCCATGCATCCAACCGGCGCATGTTAATGCATGTACGGGCATTAAAACCGTGGCTCGGTTAAATGCAAAGTAACCGATTGTTTCGACGATTCAAACGCCAGAGCAAATAATCAGAGGCACGACGTTGCGCATACTTCGCGAAATCGCGGTTTATTAATTGACTCGTTCCGTGGCACGCGATACGCGCGATAAATTATTAAAATTTATCCGATAGATCGTTTCATCTATCCTTGCGCTCGAATTCTAAAGCAGATCCTTAACTCTCAGTCCAGGAAAAAAGGTCGATGTACATTATTTACGCAATTTTTCCTGCCACGACACCGGAACGTTTCGTTATCGACGCGCGAGGATCGAGTTTATACATAGAGATTCGTTTAATAATTTGATCGAGAGCTTCCGTAATTTTCAACTCCCTTTTAGAACTGGAACTGGCCTGCGGACGATGATCGTGACAAAAAATAGTACACGCAGAGGCGAATGTATAATGCAACGATTTTCGCGGCAATTACGAGTCATAGATCGAGAACTGGCCGGGATTATGATAGAAAACAAGTCGATTTCGCGATCTTAACTACCCATAATCATCTTCCATTCACACATTTCTGGCCCGTTTATCGAACCTCGGAACAGCGTCGCTGTTCTCACGGCGTCGCTGGAATAAAACGACCGACCAACCTCCGCACGCCTACCTGTACTCTATATATTGACTGAATGTTGAAAGATATGCTAATCGAAAACATCCTGCCTGCGCTTGAATGCGCACGACGAGACGGTTGCCTTACTGCCGCCTGAGTTACACGATTTGCCCTTTTTCCTCGCGTTTTAAAGATCCCCCCCTATCAGCGACCAGCGATTTCTTCGTCGCTGCCCAGCTCGCGGAAGGTGTACTGACCTTTTCCGGTTGTGGCCCCCAGGGTTTCACCACCAGCAGTTCCTCCTCCGCGTTTGGCGCCATTTCCGATTCGCTGAAACAAGACAAACGTCGTGAGTCTCGCGAAACAATTTCAAATCGTTCTAAAAAAATTATTGTTGGTTCCGAGGATCAATTACAAACATTTTTGGTGAATAGACATACCCTCGAAATCCTAATCAGTTTCGAGAAAAAAAATTCAGTAAGTGGACTTTTTCGTCGAAATTAAAAAATTTCAAATCATTGTAAAAAAATTATTTTCGGTTCCGAGGATCAATTACAATCATTTTTGGTGAATAGACATACCCTCGAAATCCTAACCAGTTTCGAGAAAAAAAATTCAGTAAGTGGACTTTTTCGTCGAAATTAAAAAATTTCAAATCATTGTAAAAAAATTATTTTCGGTTCCGAGGATCAATTACAATCATTTTTGGTGAATAGACATACCCTCGAAATCCTAACCAGTTTCGAGAAAAAAAATTCAGTAAGTGGACTTTTTTGTCGAAATTAAAAAATTTCAAATCATTGTAAAAAAATTATTTTTGGTTGCGGGGGTCAATTACAATCATTTTTGGTGAATAGGCATACCCCCGAAATCCTGCGCATTTTCGAGAAAAAAATTCAGTAGTGGAAAGAAGAATATTTTTTTGTTTTTAAAAGTCACATCAAAAAATTTAATTTCGTATTGCTAGTCGTTCATATTAATAAATACTGTCGGAGTATAAATGCTTTAGGAGCATAATCTATAAGCAAAAATACGAAAGAACCATATGAAGTTTGTTTGCAAATGCTTTGTATAATATTGATTACCAAAAACGAGTTGCATTTTGTGGAAAGAAATCCTCTACTCTTGTCAGAGATTTTATGAACAGATGATCATTAGAATACATTAAGTAATACATCAAATAACATTGATTTAACTAATTGGTTAAGAAAACATTGCGTAGAAAGGGACCATGAGTTCCGTTAGGCTACCAAAAGAGGGGCCGTGGAAAGAAACGTGGAAAACCATTAACGATCATGTGTATTGGACAGCTGGTAACATTCAAGGTCCAGTGACCTCGTTAGATCGCTGGGTGAGAGCGAGGATGACAAACATGAATGAATGTGGAAAGAACGAATAGACTGACTTGACAATAATAAATCATATACGATGTTAGTCATTCTCTTTTTACGTACTACAGTTTTGTGCTATGTAGTATAATACAGAATGTGAATTGTATCTTTGTACGTGCAAACATTTCGCGAAAACTCGAGGACAATGTTAAAAATCCACATTTTATGATAGATCTATATGTTAGATCGTGAGAATTTGCAAATTAAGGAAAAATCAATCGAACATCACACTTTTTGAAAGAATGTTTGGTTCCTGATCAAGGTCCAAAATTCAACAATTTTTAACATCGACCTTTTCAGCTTCGTTCCTTTCTCGACCCTCGAGATCAGGTACGATGCACCCCTCGCTCGTAAGCCCTGCACTTGACCATGAATATCAACCGATTAAAAAAAGAAAAAAACACGTCTACGATGCAGTTAATTGGGAAGTTGCGCGCGTCAGGTGTTCAACCACGTTGTGGAACGACTGTCGAGAATTTCCTCGTTGGAATTTTCAAACGGTACCTCGCTCACTTGTTTCGTTCCGCCGCAACGGAGACGAGCTCGACGTGGCTCCAGGGTTTCGTTTCGATCGTATTGGTATCGCGCAACACGACGGCCTAAATTTCGGTTCCACTAGATTTCTGTCGGATTGCACGATCCACGGTCGCTGTCGATGAAATTAATTGCAACGAGCCAGAGCCCGTGTCTGCAAAACATTCGAAAATGAAACACTATCGTGTCTACACACGAGCTTTTAGATTATCAATGATAAATGAACTGAAGCAAGGCACTTGCTCGGGTGATCGAACATGTTCCAATTTATTTCACTTCTTTTTAATGTTGACACTACAAAAGTCGTAGATACTATTTTGTAGCAATTTATATTCAATTCGATTAATTTAATGCTGTGAATATATACGACTAATAAATTGTTTCTTTTGATTGGAATTATCAAAGTGTTAATTATAAAGCGTCAAAGTGGTTGATTAAATTTCGTAAATTTAATGTTTTAAGAGCACGTGCCGCGTTTGACCCTGCCTTGTCACATCCCTGATGAGAAACATCGCGAATAACAAGCGAAATCCCTATCTCCCTCGCAACGAGTTTGCTCAATCCGGGCGTCCGATCATGCGGCCCCGCTTAAACAGCGCCAATTAGCCTAAAGAGTTTACAATAACAATTCCATTAATTAATGACTTTCACACCTCGTTGTGGGATACGCGCGCTGATTAGACGCGGCGCACTATATTGTACAACGTTACGATGGAATATTCATGCACGTTCGAGAGGGGGATGGGATGCAAATGAGTGTAAAACGCAAACGAGCAACCAGAAATGTTCGGCCAGAACGAGTAATGGCTGCGTAACATTGTAATTAATAGCCGCGCGTTGGAAAACTTGGAATTCCTTTGGAAAGAGAACAGGCAACGTGGTCTTTAACTATGGTCGTTGCTTTACAAAATATTCTTTCTGTTCGTCCAACTGTTGCGTCAGGTTTCCAATTACAACTTCCCCTTTCTTACTTTCCGACCCATAAGGAAGGAAAGTATCGTAATCGAGAAATATTTCGAAACAAATCCTTTTGTTGCTCTTTTTGATTATAAATTTTCTTTAACGATACGCACATAAATGCTATGCAAAGGTCAGTATTTCTCTAGGAAACATCGAACAAAAGGTTTACAAGAAATAAGGATTGTATTTGCTAAAAGAACATTTAAAAACTTGCGTTAATATTTATTATATATTTTGAGATATTTATAGCGTTAGAACCGTATCACCTAAAATCTTTATTTTTTCATTATTCGAATACGATCTTGGGACGTTGTTCCTTTTTCGTTAAGAAACTTTTCAACGACCAATGATCCCCGTTGTTGTAGAATCTTGCTTCGCCGATTAAGTAAGTGAGAAACCACTCAATAATCTCTGAAACGCGACACATGTCCGGAACGATTACCTTGTGAAAGTCCAGGATTGAAAACCAATTTCTAGCGATCGGATTATAATGCTTTCGAGTCATTATCGCTGATAGCTGTACTTACAAGCGGAATTACCTGAATCGGCACGATATTCGAGGCAAGCCGTAAGGTCATGATGCGCCTGGAACATTACCAGGATATTTCTGATCGAGGAGTAGCCAGCCCCCTTTCGATCAGTCGATACAAGATGATACGCCTGGTTCGTGACCGTGGCGATCGTGACTCCTATTATTACCGTGATTCACTCGCGAAACGAACCCGTCCGCGTCTTGTGTCCTCGCGGTGCGCGTCTTTCGCCGAGCGAGATCGTTGCATTTACGTCGCATCGGACCGTGAAGCCCTCGGATCCATCGAGAAAGAAATTTTGTCAGGGCGATATTATCTAAATAACAGGCTGCGCGTGCCCGATCCTATCGTCCGGCCAGACGGCCTTAAATACTTCCATTATATTACACGGGGGCCAGAAAATAAATTTATCCAAAAGAAACTGGAACGAGGATGTAGGCTTTGCACATTTTTGGACGTTGAAACCGATCGTGATCAACCATAGATGGATAAATACTATTTTAACCCTTAAATGGATTCTTAATCTAAACTGAATTATATTACTTAATGTTGATTTTTGAGGTCTCCTCCTTGCTATAAATACCATATTGCATTAAACATTTTATGAGCTAAAAGTTGTGCTCTTGCACTGTACTTTTGAATTTAGAATTATTTAAAATTGAGCTTCGAGAGATGGGCAGTTGCCTACTTTTTGCACATTAATTTTCAAAGAAACATTCCAATTCGAAAAATGACTGAAACTATAATTCCTCAGGTGTTGTTCCATCCTTCGTTCACAACGTTGTAGAGGTTCGAAGTTTCCCCCCGAGAATCGATGATTTTCCTATCGTATGAGAAAATGATCGAACGCGGTTTGATTTACGGAAGGCCGAAAGTAAATTACGAATCAGTTTTGCAAAGACACCGTCAGAAACCGCGTCTGATATGCAACGAATCGCGGTGAATCCGGCTGCCCTCATCACCATTAATCTCGAGGAACGTTGCCGCGTCCGAGCGACCGGTCACGGGGCGATTCTTCGCGTGTCAAAGAGGGCCGCCTCGCGGAAACGTCAGCCGATGCATACGGAACGCAAGTTGGGAACGCGTACTCGTCAGATCCGCGATCTTGAGCGCGGGCATAACGTAGTAGCGAGGAGGGTATCCGCGGACTAGGTAGATACTTACTCCGAGGAGGACAGCAGAGGCATTGACCCGCGCGCGAGCGGTTAGTCAGCCGCACACACGCGTCTACGTGAGGACGCCGGCCTACACCGGCACACGCGGCTCTGGTGTCCTTTAAGGAATTCTAGCTCTCCGCGAGCTGATCCCGCCGGATGATGGAAAATTGGAGAAAGTGCTGTGGGGTAATCCGACTCGCGCTGCTAAATCGCTGCTCGCCGCTCGACGCGGTTTGGGTTCAACGACATCCGTCTTAAACGGGTTCAAGTTCGCGTCGAGATGTCGCGCGTTCCACAGTGTGCCAATGTTGGCTTTAATGGCCTCCAAACCTGGCGAACTGCGACGCGCCATTCGAGAATCGGGTCAAGTTGCGAAGGTGCAAGCGTTTACTGAATCATTCTCGGAGCACCGTTCTTTCGCCATTTTGCCGACGTCCTTGCGGCGATTTTGCGTTTTGCGAGTCGCAGAGACTTGAATTAACGTCCATGATTCTTATTTCTATCGTTCTGATACGTCGAACGACGAATCTCGTTTATTTGAACCGATCCGGGGGACCGTGCAGTTCGGATAACTGAATTATTTGATCGATAGAGGTTCACCTTTCCTTAATTAGGAACTCATTACTTTACTCGGTAGTTTCAACGACATCGATCTTACTCGAAAGTTCGAAAGTATTAGAGTTTATTTACGGCGAGCAGCGTATGACGCAATGTCGGTCACTGGTAAGCGACGTAACCTTAATAGAAAGACTAGCGAC